TCTTCTTTTTCTCCTAGATCTCTCCTCCTATTTATTCTCTCTGCCTGCCAATTCTGCCTATCCTTTCTCCTGCCTTGCTATTGGTTGTTGAGCTCTTTATTAGACTAATTGGGTGTTTTAGACAGGCAAAGTAACACAGCCTTACAGAGTTAAACAACTGCAACATTAAAAACATGCAACACATCTTGGCATCAGCGAAGCACATTTTCCACAGCATAAACAAATATAACCCATCTTAAAATAATATTCCACAACAGAGATCTGCCTATGTCTGCCTCCTGAAATGCAACACATCTTTGCATCATTAAAGCAAGTGTTCCACAGCATAAACAAATGTCACACATCTTAAAATAATATTCCACGAGGGAGATCTACCTACCTCTGCCTCCTGAGTTCTGGAAGGTGAGGGGCTCTCTTGCTTTCCCTGCTCTTGTGTTTCATGACCCAGGCTAGCTGGCTCCCAAACTTCCTAGCAATTCCCTTGTCTCACTCCCCATGTCATCATACCAGGACTGGGATTACAGATGTTCGCCACCACATCCGACGCTTTTGAAATGTGGGTTCGGGGATGGAACTCGGGTTATCTTACCTGCAGGACGAGTGTTTTAACCTGCTCAGTCATCTCCTCAACCCCAGATGAGTCATCACCCCACTGCATGTATTGTCATGATTTTAGCACGAGAAACATTGTTCCTAAATAGTTTTGACATAAGAAAATCTTAAATAATAGGTGAAAACAGCTGAGCTGTAAACAGTGGCCAAAAATAAATAAAAGTTAAAAACAGCGCTGTCTCTACTATCAATAGAACACAGATGATCTGCTTTCCATAGTGACTGTCACTACTTTTGCCCACACATATAAGGGTTACCTGAAGCTGTCGTGATCCAATGGAAGTCTTCCAGAACTGTTTCCGAGGGTCTGGTGTTGCCATGATTGAAGCAAATTTTACTGAAGCAAATCCAAGGTTTGACAAACACAATGGTCCCAATGGCTGGAAGGAAATCTCAGGTCATCGGTACCTAGATCAGGATCTTCTGGGTGCCTGAATTGACTAGGAGTTTTTCAGGCAGTCGTGAAGTGTTTAAAGTGGTCACAGTTGTTAGGAGGAGAGTTGAAACAATTACCTAAGAAGTAAGGGTTTGACTGATAGTTTGTGCAGCCTCTGAGAAAATGCCCAAACTGTAGATGTGCTTGGCACCATGATAATGAAAGTCTAATTCTGACAGTCTTGAAAAACCTGGACAAAAAGTTAAATTTCCCATCTGACCTCCATTTTGGCCTCAACCTGAGTCACCCAATTCCACTCCCTGGAAGTTGCCCTTAAGACAGGGTGCCAGACAGGGGGAGTCAGCTATTCAATTCAATAACCCAACTGCAGGTGCCTGAAGTCTTCAGTCTTTAGGGAAAGGAACAAATCTGGAGAAATGACTCAGCAGTTGAGAGCACTTAACTGCTATTGGTGTCCAACAGCCACATCAAATGGTTCTCAGTCACCTGCAACTCCTGTTCTAGGGGATCCGATGTCCTCTGACCTCCAAGAGCTCCTGCACTAAGGCACACATATACTCACGCAGGCACACATAAAATAATAAATCAATTCTTTAAAAGGATAAAAGAGAAAAAATAATTAAGAATTGCTGACAACAAATATAAACTTGAAAATAACATATTTCTTCAATGAATTTTATCTAGTAGTGCTTAAATCCTAGCCAAATGCTCTTGCAAGAGCTTGGGTCCTTCTGATCTCTTTCAAGATACACACCTCACAATAGAAAGAACAATAACCAAAATACAGCATGCTCCAAAATATACAGAAAAGAACATAAGATTGGGCGTGGTAGAAAGACATATGGAGACCAAATCCAGTTTGGTCACCTCTCATAAGACTCCAGTATTGAGTTGAAAACACAGCTACCACACAGACACTGTGATCAATGTCTGTAATTGCAGCACTTGAGAAGCTGAGACATGAAAATCACAAGTTTAAAGCCTGTCTGTACTGTATTGGTGAGTTCAAGGCCAGCCTGAGCTACATAGCAAGACCCTGTCTCAAACCAACTGTCAAAAGGAAAGAAATAAAGAAAAGAACAGTTGTTGAATTAGAGATTCAAAAATATATAAATTATCGCAAAGCTCCTTTGGTTGCTCTTTGTAGTTAAGTTACTGCTCCTGGTTCAGATATAACTGAAACATTTTATGAACAAATGAAAAAAAGTTTTTGACAGTAGATGAACTGGCCTCTCATGGTACAGAACCCAATCATACTTTCTACAAATGTTCCTTCTCATTTTTAAGGATGTGCACTTGAAGACAATAGAGTTTCAAATCTACTAACTGGATTAATAAAGATATTAATAAAACTGTATAAAATATAAAATAAAATATTGCTATTTTCTCCAAATACAAAGTGCATTTTTGCTTAGTTGTATTCATATTCAAATAACATACAGATATAAAATTTAATATATTCTACTCTGTCAGTGCATAAACTACAAGCAAAGAAAATTACAAGATTATTAACCAACTAGATGTACTATATGCAAGTCTGATACACAGTTCTGATGAAGAGGGATGTGGTTTTTCTTGTCTCGGATATTGCAGATCTAGGGATGGTATTAAACACAAACATACAAATACACACACACACACACACACAGTTTTTCCTCTGTGTATTAAGTTCTTGTGCCCTCCTACAGTGATTCATCCCTTTGGTAGTGCACCGCAACCACACCCGATTCACGAATGAGTCGGTAACTATTTCAGTCATTGTCTCAACTGCTGCAGTGCATGTGGACAAATAACTGGGTGTTTTTTACTTCAAAATGGCCCCGAGGCACAAGATTAGTAATTCTGGAAATTTGGATGTAGCAAAGACAAACAAAAATGAAAGTTTATCATAATCATACATATAGAGAGGAAAAAACTCTGTGTGTGTGTGTGTGTGTGTGTGTGTGTGTGTGTGTGTTTCAGGAGATCTGACAGTTTTTCTGACCTCTTTGGACTCCTGCATACATGTGGTGCATATATATGCACTCACGCATACATGCATACACAGAAAAAAAAATAAATATTTTTAAAGTATTATTGTACTACAGGAACAAAAGGAACATTTCATTTTATTTTGAATATAGGTGATAGTTGTTTGTTGCTTTGTTTACATTTCCCTTTTAAAACTTACATACATCTATTAGGAAGATACAATAGTATGACTCACAGAATCCAAAAATTTATTTGCTGACAGAAGACAAAAATGAAAAATAGTCCTATATTTTTGGACATAGCCTGTTTATTACCTTGTTCAATTATTTAGTCTTACTTCTTTGTTACCAGTTGTACAACAGAAGACTAAATTAAAGAATTAAAATGAGCATTGATTTTTCAACTAATAACACTGTGTATAATTACTTTTTATATATTGTCTTACGAATTTCATACCACGTAGAGTTGTGTTCCAGGTTGTCTTTTTAAAGGCTAAACAGTCTAATAAAATATAATAAAGGGAAAAGATGATAGAGACAAGGGACTGCTTGTATATTGCATAGACAAGTTTTTAAATCAAAACTGGAAGTCAAACAAGTGCCTTTTCTTTTTTAGGTGTATATACTATGTACAAACTACCCATTTATTAGTTTCTACTTATTTGGAAGGGGTAATCATTGTTAGTTTTGAACACTGGACAACTGCTTTAAGCGTGGGGGAAAGACGCTACGGACTGAAGGTTCCCACAAGTAATAATGCGTGACTAAGGGGGGCTGGGAGGGGTGCGCCACTAGTGTGCGTGGCTAGCCGTCAAAGTTCAAAATGGCTGCCAAGAAGTCGGACGATTCTGACGAGATGGTTGAGGTATCCGATGAGGGTAAACAGCTCTACCCAAACTGGAAGATTTTGTAAGCCCCTAACGTTTAATGTATGGGTGGTACTATTGGGGAATTTAAAGTAAAACAGTATTTGTTGTAACTAAGAGATCCCTTCAGTTGCAAGGAAGTGACGGGACTTTATTAGGCAGGTCTAGTTCAGTCTTAGTAAGCGGTTGTTTGTGAAGATGTTACCATCACAGCACTAGAACTAAATACTGAGGCACAAGGAGATGTGATGTAATTTTGTGAGGTCACCGTGATAGGACTTGTTCTTAATTAATGGACTAAGGGAAAGAGACATTACTGCCTGGCCGTTTCTAATCTAGGGGTCACGGCAACCATTTTGAAAGCAGAAGATAGTAGAACAGTTGATGCATGTAGAAACAGGATTCTCCCATACCTTTTAAGACAGAGACTGTTAACTGATGGTTTTTTTTAATGGGGGGGGGGGGAAGGGAGAGTAGATGCCAGGGCATGACCGTCATGGTGCTCAAGCCCAGGGGCATTTCGTAGAGGAGGACAGGTCTACAAACTTGTCTTGTGCTCTCTCTTTGCTGGTCCCTATGCCTAACATATTCTGAAAATAAAAATGGAACTGGGCAATCTGGGAAGCAAGAAAGGGCCCAGTTTGGACGTTAGTGGGATGAACTGTTCAGACCGTGAGAAGGATAGAGGGAAGAAGGTGCTTATGCAGTCTTGACCAAAGCCCTACACGTAAAGAATAGTGCCTATTTCAGTGGTTCACAACCTTCCTAAGGCTACAACCCTTCAGTACAATTCCTCATGTTGGGGTAATTATTAAACTTATTACATTTTAATTGTATATTATATAATTATTCATATATACATATAATAGATTTAAACATTAAATGTAATATATAAAATGTTAAGATTATTAAATTTTAAATTAAGTAGAATTATTAATTAAATCTCCACAGTTATTCATAGCTACTTCAGAATAACTAATTTTGCTACAGGTATGAATCATAATGTAAATATCTAATGTGAAGGATATCTAATATGCAACAGCCTACCCCGCCACCCACCGTAAGGGGTCTCGAACCACAGATTGAGAACCTTTTGGTCTATTGGGTAGGGTTGTCAGATTTAGGAAAAAAAGAATTCAGAATGGCTAGTTAAATTTGAATGTCAGCTAAGCAGCACATAATTGTTAGTATGTATAATACTATAATAATAGTATCAATATGGCCCTTGTGTATGTGGTAATAACGCTTACAAAACTGTATTCATTGTTAATGTGATTCTCAAATGTAAGGGGAGGTTGAGTTCGCCAGGGCCCTGTTCACACTGAGACAGGTGGAGGAAGGGCCTCTGCGGGAATTCCAGGAAATTCAAAGAACAGGCGGTCATTAAGGGGAGTGAGGAGGGTGGGAGCAGAGCTGGGGACGCCTGCAGCACAGCCGCCCAGTGTTACTAGGGCAACTTCTCTGCGTCTCCGTCTCGGCGCCGGCGGCCAACAGGGCTCCGGGTAGCCGCGCCCACGCAGGTGGGGGCAGGCGGCTGGGAGCCCGCCCAGGCCGGCGAGCCGCAAGCTAGGCCCGCCTTTCCTTCCCCACAGGGGTGGAGCCCGAGCGAGGAGGAACCAGCCTACCGAGCTCTCGCCCAGTGGAACACTCGCAGGAGAAAATGGAGCCCAGCAAGATGGCGCCTCCCAAGAACGCTCCTAGAGATGCCTTGGTAAGCGCAGGGCAGCGAGGCTGGGGCGCACTTAGAGGCGCCCCGTGTGGCAAGCCTGACTGAGTGCCTGGCGGGGAGGCAGGGGGTTCTCGTGCCATGTGCAGCTGGGCGACGTAGCTGGAAAAGGGCAATAGGGATCCCCTGTGCCTGGGGCGCCATCCGCACTGCGGGAACCCCTCCAGAGGGGCGCAGGCTGCTTTGGGGCTTTTGTCTCCTTATAACCGGGCCGACCCCCAACCCGCCCCTGCCCAAGTCTGCAGCCTCATCGGCTCGCCCAGTCTGTGAGTATTGACTGCGACATGGGTTCTGATGCTAGCTTTTCCTCACTGTCAGATCTGAAAATGACAGCTGGACCCACCCCTACCTGCCTAGAAAGCCAGTTCAGGCCTTTCTTGTGCCTTTGCTCCCACCCTTGCTAAAATAAAAGTTATCACCAAAAGCATATGACTGATTTTGCGTGATCGCTGACACTCACTGGAGGAGGCACAAGGCTGAGTTTGGGACTTTGTAAAAAACATAGAAATATGCCTCCTGTCCAGCTTTGATTTCTTTTATCTACATTGTGCATCTGGCTTTTTGTTTTTATTTGAATCCACAGGTGATGGCACAGATCCTGAAGGATATGGGGATCACTGAGTATGAGCCAAGGGTCATAAATCAAATGTTGGAATTTGCTTTCCGTAAGTTAAAATTTTTTGACCTTGTTAATTAGAAAAGATGATTAATTGTAACACTTTAAAGCATATTGTTACCAGTCTAGAAATGAGTAAAGCACTAAGAAGGAGCCCACATTAAGGGACAACAGTATTTACATGTAGCATGCATGTTTAACTAAAGTACCATGCAAATAGGACAATTATTAAAACCAAGACAGAAAGGTTCCAGAAATTAATGGAACCTTTTAAAAGGAGCCATAAATATATAAATAGTATTTATGTATGTGTGTATTATATGTATATATAGTATTTACATATATATGTAAGTATGTCTTCATGTAATAAAAGTTATTTTGCTCTTAAAGGATATGTGACTACAATTCTGGATGATGCAAAAATTTATTCAAGTCATGCTAAGAAACCTACTGTTGATGCAGACGATGTGAGACTGGCAATCCAGTGCCGGGCTGACCAGTCCTTTACCTCTCCTCCCCCACGAGATGTGAGCAAACATTTATTTGCAGTTATTTTTATTTGCACTTTAAAAAATATATTTCTAATGAAGATTTTTCTCTTTTAGTTTTTACTAGATATTGCAAGGCAGAAAAATCAAACGCCTTTGCCACTGATTAAGCCATATGCAGGACCTAGACTGCCACCTGATAGATACTGCCTAACAGCTCCAAACTATAGGCTGAAGTCCTTAATTAAAAAGGTAAGAATTTCTGGCTCATGCCTTAATTCTAGCAGTAGGGATGCTGAGGCAGGAAGATCAGGAGTTCAAGGCCATCCTTAGAACTTCAGGGCCATCCTGAGCTACATCAATTTCTTATCTCAAAAAAAGGGAAGGTTTTTTTTTTTGGAGGGGGGGGTGTTTAGATTGGTTTGGCTTGGTTTGGTTTGGTTTGGTTTGGTTTAGTTTGGTTTTCCGAGACAGGGTTTCTCTGTAGCTTTGGAGCCTGTCCTGGAACTCACTCTGTAGACCAGGCTGGCCTTGAACTCACAGACCTGTCTCTTCCTCCTGAGTGCTGGAATTAAAGGAGTGAGCCACCACTACCCAGCTTAGTTTATGATTTTTAAAAGGTGGAAATAATAGCTAAACTAGTAAAAAGCAAAGTTCTTATAGATAGCACAGTAAAGGTTAAAATAATTCTTAGATTTTTTTTTTTCATCTAACCCAGTGGGAATTTTTCTCATCATACAACTGAACCTGAACTCATGGAGTCAGTGGCAAAGCTAGGACTGATTCCAACATCTAGTAGCTTCTTTGGTGTGTGAGATCCAATAATGAAGTAAATGATATGCCATCAGTAATTAGACCTTTTTCAGACATATCACCTAAGGTTGTCTCAGCACTGAAAAAGGACACCCCATATTAGGCTACCTTTGTTTTCTGGAATTCTGCTGTAAGACAGTTTTAATTTAGGCACAGTTAAAACACTGACTAGTTAAAATCCAATATTATAATACAAGGAACTTAGTATTTGTCTCCATTCATGCAGAATTAGATAGGGTCACAATATTGTATGTATGCAAAAACTCCAAATATCGGATTTACAACAGAAGAGTTCAATCTTCAGTAGCATGACAAAAAGAAAAACACAATAAAAAGACATTTTTTTTCATTTGATCATTCACTAATAACTCACATCAGCAGTTATAATTTTGCTTTTCATCAAGTTTAGGTGTCAAATGTTAACATTAAAACTTGTGTTTAATCCCCCAGGGACCTAACCAAGGAAGACTAGTGCCTAGATTAAGTGTCGGTGGTGTTAGTAGCAGACCTGCTACTCCTAATGTAGGTAAGTTAAAGAGGGAAATGGCCTTTCCGGACAGTAAGAACAATGTCTCAGCATGTGCCTTTGAACAATAACCAAGTCAAAATGGGAGTCAGAAACTCCAATGTGTTGCTATTAATAATTTTAATCATCAACAAAAAAAAAAAAAAGACTGATCCCAAACGAGATTGGCAAAGTTCTTGTTGGTATAAACTGTGATTCCAGAAACACTTTGTGTTTCCACCTTCTGTGCTTCAAGTCACCAAATACACCCATGCCAGCAACCTACTTACTGAGAATGTAACGAAATGTCCCTATAAACTGGCTACAAGTTCAAAGAAGTTTAAAACCTAAAGAAAGCTCAAGGATGTTAAAAATAGGTTTTAATACTTACCTTTTAAAACCAGTACAAGAACCAGCCTGGGTGACATAAAGGAGATCATGCTAATTATGTCAGTAAGAGCCCTCAAGCTGTGGCCTACAATGTATGATAGCTCTCCGTCATGCTACATACATTTCTGACACACGATGTTCCAAGCCTATCTTATATTCGCCAAGCTTTAGAATCAACCACTTCTCTAACTAAACCTTAGTTCATTTAGTGAATGGTATTTAGGAACTCAAGTTTTCTGATTTTTTTTTCATGTTTTGCAAAAAGAAAAAAATCCTTTTTCCCTTGTATTAATTTCATGGTTCTTGCTTTTAACTTGAGTCTTACCAGTGTCATTATATGTCTAGTATAAAATTAATTTTTTTTAAAACTGAGTCTTAATCTGTAACCCAGGATAGCCTTTTTTAAAAAAAAAAAAAAAGATTTATTTATTTAGTATGTATATACAACATTCTGCCTCCATGTATGCCCGCACGCCAGAGGAAGGCGCCAGATCTCATTACAGATGGTTGTGAGCCACCATGTGGTTGCTGGGAATTGAACTCAGGACGTCTGGAAGAGCAGCCAGTGCTCCTAACCACTAAGCCATCTCTCCAGCCCCCTCAGGATAGCCATAAATTTACTATCCTTCAGCCTTCTGAGAATTCAGATTACAGTTGAGGAATGCTGACCAGCTGATTTGACCTTTGAGGTGTGAACCATCTCTCTATATTCTCAGGATATGAATTTGCACGTCAGCATTTTAAAGCTGTTATTAATGAGGTATATATCTCTAATAACCTACATAAAACCTCCAGTGAACAAAATGTTACGTATAAAATCTGTGTAACTTTTCAGTCATATACTACTTACCTGTATTCAAATTAAGTGAATATCAAATTTTTGCTTTTTTGTTTTTGTGAAAATTACCTCACTATATTGCCAAGGCTGTGTCGAACTCCTAAGCTCAAGTGTTCTGCCTGTCTCTGCTTCCTGACTAACTGGCTACAGGTGTGTGCCACTGCCCAAGAAACAGCAGGGTGTAATGAGCAGGTACATGTGGCAGTCAAGTAAGCCAACTTCAGTTACCAGTTGCTTTCTTACATTTCAAGTCATTTGTTAAGACATTCTTTAGAGTGTAACACCTAGAAATCTTAATCTATAATTTCTATTAAAGATGTAATCATTAAAATTAAGAAAACTTTTCTTTTTTAGCACATACTTCCTAAGGAAAAGGGGAAGAAACCCGAGAGGGATTACAGAGGAAGAATACCCATTGTAAATCTTTTTAATTACTCTGCCTTCATTTATAATATTTTTGTACCTCCCATGAGCCCTCTAGACTTTGAAGGTGTATTTCTGTATGCTTTGGAGTAGAGAATATAAATATATAAGAAGTCATGTAACTGCTATGATCTGTTCATTGTAACTACAGCACCCCCACAAGCAGGATCTGTCCCAAATAAAGGTCCAACTCCAGTGTCAGTGACAAGCCAAAGATTTGCAGTGCAGATTCCACCTTCTCAGTCCGCATCTGCCAAACCAGGTAACATGATATGGGTGCGGGGACAGAATTCATGAATAACTTTCAATTATACAACAGTTTGTTTTACTATAGGAAGACTGGCTTTAGTATCACAACAGGTTGACAGGTAGAACTGCAAATCAGGGATCTTTGAATAAGGTCTCTACTGTTAAGTTATACATAACATTTCAGGAGGAGGGTGGTATATTGAGTTGTTCTCCTCAAATTCTAAAATACTATAAACTAAAAGAAATTGGGGTTCACAGATCTAAGGTGTCTTCAGGGTAAAGCACGTCAAGTAAAAACCCAAGGAAATGACACCATTTAGTGCGGAGAGTGAAGGATGCTGCTGTAAATTAGAATGGAGGTGTGCCTCACTCATTCTCTAGGTGGCAGCGATGAGTGAAAGGCTAATAGACTGCTAGCATAACAGTTTGCTTATGTGTATGTTCAAATTGCATCTTTTGAAACACTATCACCATACAAGAAACAACTTCAATAAAAGTTGGGCTTGCAGGATGGCCCTGTAGGTAAGGGCACTCGTCACCAAGTCTGATGACCTGGGTTCAATCCCTTAAGACCCACGTGGTGTAAAGAGAGAACCACACCCAAAAGTTGTCCACTGATCTTCCCATGTCATGTGGTGCACACACCTAAACATAAGTAACTAAATGCAATTCTTTTGAAAACTGCCCTATGAAAGCATGTCTCCTGGCCTCACACATGAATCCAGTACACTAAACACTAATTACAATTAAAAATAAAACAAATTTTGTTAACTTTGCAATAATTTTAGTGAGAATTATCTATACATAGATCAAAGTATACTTATGCCTGATAAAATCACTATTAGCAAATTTAAGATAAAAATGTTTAAAGATTGAATCCCACTCTTAGTAATTTCAGGTATCTCTATGATGTAGTTGTATGCTGTGCTAATGAACTTGTATAAAAATTACATTCTAGTTTGCTGTCTATTTTTGTATCATGGGTAACTGACATCTATGGGGTTTTCTTCTATTTATAGCTCCTGCAACGACTACAGTCCAGAATGTTCTGATTAATCCTTCAATGATTGGGTCCAAAAATATTCTCATTACTACCAACATGGTTTCCTCACAGAACACAGCCAGTGACTCAAACCCACTGAAGAGGAAGCATGATGACGATGACAATGACACTATGTAAAGAATAAAGTCTGTTCTACAGATTTTAAAATTTTAGTGCGTTTAGGCCCACATGGTGGACTGAACAGCCTAGGTCTTAAGTTTTATCTTAGAAACGTAGTAGCAGTATTTTTCTTATTAGCTACACATGATAAGTTTCATTGGGTTCAAATGTTTTTTCAGTATGCTTTAGATATCCAAGTCCTTGTTGCTAGACAGCTCTAGTCTCACTATGGCAATTCTATTTTGAGAAGCAGTTTTGTGCCATGACTGACAGCGGCACTTAGATTCCAGTTCCTGGTCTCATTTACATTTAAGCATGACTTTCTGGTTAGGGCAACTATTCACATTGTCACCTTTGTGACCAAATCTCTCAATCTAGTAACGTTTTTTGAAACAGTGGATTTAGAAGGGTCCTAAATCCATTTTGAATGTCTTTGGGTTTGGTCTTTTCTAGTCCCCACCTCAGCTACCTATCTAGATGCCATCTCGTTTCTGTTCCCACCTCTCATTGCCTTATGTCACTTGCCATTGCACTTAAATTTAAGACTGTAACTGGAATTTGTAAAGCACTTGAACCTGGGTGTCTGCATTTGCTTTTTCACTCCATAACAGCGCAGGGAGGTCTCGGCCCTTACCTGCCATGCCTGCTAGGCTTTACTCTCTGACATCAGTTACATTCAGTTGCATTCCAAGTTGACAGCCTCACCATCTTTCATGCTTATAATTTTTTTAACAGACATAATGTAAAAGCTGCCTTAGTAAGTAATTTACACTGGACCTAGATAAAAACCACTGAAATCTAGTGTTTTTGTTGTTTCCTTATTCTTCCACCTGCATATATGCTTTGATCACTACTGATTGAACCGGTCTAATTGGTTTCATTAAGATCATCTTGCTGCTGAGGACGTCACACGTAAGATAAGATCAAGCCTGAAAGTAGAGTCTAATGATTCTCCTTCCCCATAAGGCCAACAGGGAAAACAGATTAGTGTCACCTGACTCCATTTACACATGACCTACAGAAATTTCCCAACCATGTGTTTCTAAACACTTTCTATTTTGTTTTTATACAGACCTACAAGACACACTGGGGAAGACTGCAAAGCTTTTTTGAGTATAAAAAAGCATTGTTTGATTTGATGGGATTTAAGTTCTATTTAGCCAATACTGGAAAAGTGTAAGCAGAAGTTCCCAAAACCTCCACATTATTAAATTTGATAGCCATGGGTCATCAAACTTACTAAGTATTGGCACAGACTGGTGTTTGACACAAGAATAGTACAGTAACTCGTCCCAGTTTGTATGTTTAGGAATGTTACGGAAGGTTGATCTGATCAGTATCACAAGAGAAATGTGCATTCTACAGCACTCACGTCACTACTTGAATGTTCTCAGGGAGGCAGAATATTCGGCGGCCTGGCTTCTAGTACTAGTTTCATTACCAACAACGTGACCTTACTTTACCTCTGAGCCTTGTTCACTAGTAATGGGAAATACCACCTACCCTGCCTACCTCACAGGGCTGTTGTGAGGGTTTAGCTGGTGTGAGAGAAAGTTCTCAAGATTGTAAAATCTATAAGTAATTATTAATGTATTTGTTGCAAGATTATTAATAAAAATTTAACTTTACCAGTGACCTTTTATTTTTGACTGAAGGGATTCGAGGAGGTAAATAAGGCAACAGTAGAGCAATTCAGATTATCAGGGGACAGCTTGCTTTTGCTGGGAATTTGCATTTGATTCATAGTTAAAAAAAAGCAATGAAAATCAAATATGGGTTTAAAATCTTACAAACTAAAGATGCTCTGTATGATGGGAATGTATATATAGATCCCTGTACTGAACTATAACTAATGGGTGCTTCTGGGGAGGAAAGCCAGTAGACAGGTTGGCAAAAACTTCACTATACCCCCCCCCAAAAAAAAACCGAAAATTTGAGTTCCTCATTTATAGTATGGGGATTCTGTGGGCATTATTAGGGGATTGAATGTGATTTTACTATTTAAAATCTATGCCTTTCAACATTTATCAAGTTACACTATTCTAATTTACATGTACAGGAACAGTTCGATCCTGGGTATCTTATTTGATCAGGTTTTAAATTCCTTCAGGGCAAAAATCCTATCTTCTACTCCCTCCACTGTGTCCTAAGTACATAGTTATACTGAAATATTTGGTTATTTGCCAAGCTACCTTTTCTGTTAAACTTATTTTTTCTACTTAGTCTCTGTATTAAACATCTAAATAGGGGGCAGGAGAGATGGCTCAGGAGTTAAGAGGCACTGGGCTGCTTTTCTAGGACTCTGGTTGGATTCCCAAGACCTACGTGGCAGCTCACAACCATTAGTAACTTCAACAATCTCTTCTGGCCTCCACAGGCACTGCACACATGTGGACAGATGTACATGTATGCAAAAGACTCATACACATAAAATAGTAAAAAAAAAACTGAAAGAATTTTGTAAATAGAAAATCCTAGAAATATCTCATAAAATACTTAAAAAGATACAATAAAAAACTGATAGATGATGCTGTCAATTAGTACTAAATGCATGGATATCTATTTACAGGGTTTTTTTTTTTTTGTCTTTTTGTTGTTTTTTATGTATCTTTGGAGCCTGTCCTGGAACTAGCTCTTACAGACCAGGCTGGCCTCGAACTCCGCCTGCCTCTGCATCACAGGTGCTGGGATTAAAGGCACGTGCCACCACCGCCCGGCCTATTTACAGTTCTTTCAGCGTCTCTGAGCACTTGAACTAAGTATTGAAAGATTGTGGGTGGGGGGAGACAAGGGGGATCAGCACTCAGGTAAACCTCTAGCCCAACAGTAACATTCACTTACAACATCTGAGCTTCATCTGCAAAATCCCTGCTGCTCAAACCAAGGTCTATCTGATACTGTACCAAAAAAATGGCACAATGTACAATTAGCTACAAATATGGAGAAGCATATAAACTAGAATGCAAAAGAATTAAGAATAACTGGAGTTTTCACAATTTCTGCTTAAGCAATTTCCAAAATAGATTTGACAGTGACAATGAAACAATGCCTTCAACTCTGATAAACTGATATTCAGACTCTTAACTATGTCTACATACCAAGGGTAATTAGATAAATACGAGTATCTGTATTAAACAAACTTTGTAAATTTTTTGATATTTAAGAGATGATCTGGGGCTGGAGAAATGGCTCAGTGGTTAAGAGCATTGCCTGCTCTTCCAAAGGTCCTGAGTTCAATTCCCAGCAACCACATGGTGGCTCACAAGCATCTGTAATGAGGTCTGGTGCCCTCTTCTGGCCTGCAGACATACACAGACAGAATATTGTATACATAATAAATAAATAAAATATTTTTTAAAAAAAAGAGATGATCTAATGTTAGGAACTTTAAATATAGATGACTTAAAGCATGAGAGATTATTCATAGATTTTAGGGAAATACATTTTATAGAAAGAATGAGCATCAGCAGATTTTGGTATCTGAGAAACCCCATAGATACAAAGGGTTTAAAAAAGCATGGCCAAATTAGTAATCAGGTTTAAGAGCTGAACAGCTAATTTCAAACCAAGGCTCAGAACTTCCTCCTTGGCAGTCTTTCTCAGGAAATTACTAAATCCAGATTTGCATAAAAAGTAAATCAGCCAGGCATGGTGATGCATTCCTACCATTAGTACTACTGGGGTGGAGGGGGCAAAGGCAGAGATCACTGGAAGTTGAAGGGGAGCCTGAGTTAGCTAACAAATTCCAGGTCAGTGAGGGCTGTCAAAAAGAAACACAATTAACTATCCAAAAAAAAACTTAAACTGAGAAATAGAAGGGGAAACAAGGTTTCAAAGGTAAAAAGAACCCCTAGAGCGATACAGGAAAGCCCTGAGCAATATGGCTGCAATAAACCTAGGGTAGCCAGGAAAACTGGAACAGAGGCACCAAGGATTCCAGATTTCAAAACTTAAAAAACCTATCTGATGTGTTTCCATATACTTCATGTTCATACTTTTAGTGTATGTTGGAATGAAGTAGTGGAAAAAATGTGAAAATTATTTTTGTTTTGAGATGGGGTCTCACTTTGTATCCTTGGTTGATGTGGAACTCCCTATGTGCTAGGATCAAAGACTTGTGTATCATGCCCAGTAGGGGAAAAAAAACATGGCTGAAGAGATAGCTCCGCACTTCAGAGCACTGGTTACTCTCTTCCAGGGGTCCTGTGTTCAATTCCCAGCATTCACATGGTGGCTCACGACCACTCATGAGAGCTGATGCCCTCTTCAGGCCTGCAGGCATACACGTAGGCATAACATTACATACATGATATATTATTTTAAAAATGGCAAAAATATAGCATAGTACATACATATATAACTTATAATCATAGTGTAAACCTTCAGGCTTGAGACAGAATCGAGACTGGCCTCTAACTCACTACATAGCCAAGGATGATCTTGAACTTCTGTCCTTCTGTCTTCACTACCCATGTGAAGAAATTATAAGCAAACACCATGCTCAGAACCTTCATAATGTAAATTTCTGATCTAATTTATAGCAATGGCAAAACAATACTGAGAATGAAGTATATGTGGAACAGAGGCTGTTGATTTCATTCTTCAAAGTATGAAATTAATAGACATGTTTGAAAATCTCAGTACTTAGAACCATGAAATGGGAATCAAGAAAACAATGGTCACACTAGGCAATGTGAATCAAGAATGGGAGTAGTGAGGTGAGGCTTGTTTTGGTTGGTTTTGTTTAGATCCAGTTGTGAAACATCTATAGACTTTCACTAAGTAATAGGCATCTGTCTAGTCCCACCTCCCCACTACTACAGCCAATCCTTCCATTCAAAATGTAGATAGATACTTGATCCCATATGAAGATTCTATTCTCACCCTTCCTAACAAAATATGACAGGAAAACTCCAGTTCCGGCGGACATCTTTATTAATAGACCATCAACTTCTCCAAACCTCCAGCTGGAATTTCATCTTATTTCCATGCTGAGTCATGAACAGTGACAAAGCCAACCAGAGGCTACTCGAAGAGGACTAAGCTTACATAGCTCACTTTCTTCTACAGGCAGAATAAAAATAGATGCACTATAGAATGCACAATGGCTTTAGTCACTATGGAATTTAAATGGGATCTTGAAGAATGTAGACAAATCCCAATGAAGGAAGGACGAGCTGAGATGCTGTGCAACTGTTTAAGGGTTACTGGTGATGCATATAGGTCACTAGCTGAATCTTGAACTAACACCAAATGGAGATGCGGAAAACACACTAAGTTGACTTAGGGGTTGTGCACAGGAACCAAAAGGCAGGAAAATACTAAACATTGCTGAGAGCATCCACCCCAGGAAGGACTTTACCTGTTTTTGAGAGAGCACATATACAGACAGCATTACTTTTAAGACCCACTAAGCTACAGCTGCCCTATTTTTCTTACTGATAAAATAGGGGAGGAGTTCAAGCACTCCTGCATTCTTTCTTGGTCCCAGGTCAATTAAAATGTGTTCCTACCTATGCCTCCCGCCAAGTGGATTGCAGGTGCTCTGCTTGTGCTATCTAGCTAATATGATTGCTGCTGTTCCCCACCCTGCCTTCAAATAAACCAAAACAGAGAATAACCTCACCTTCCAGGAGCTCTAGACTGGCACCACCCCCAGTGCTCACATGGCTGACTTTATCCTCTGTATTCCATTTGGCACAGCAAGAGGCAGTGTCTCCACCGCCTGTTGAATGAAGACCAGAGAAAAGTGTTTTGGCATCAGAACTGTAAAGGTTCAACCAAAAAGGTTGCTAGATAATGAAAGCCCCACTGCATCTCAAGAGGACTCCCTAAGAAAGACACCTCCATCAACTATCAGAGATTTAGAAAATATTAAGCACATTCCCCCTCTGCCTCCCCTGCATAGAGCTCTGCCACTGTTGCATTAGTGTGAGATTAGCACAGGACCCCTTACCTATGATAGTGATGCAACCCCTAGAAGTGGCTTTTACCACCTCATCCATGAGGGACTTGGTTCCCCTGGCAAAAGCTTCCCATTCAAAGACCCCAACAGGTCCATTCCAAACAATCTGCTTGGCTCGAGCCACAGCCTCAGCATATTTCTTGCTGCTCTCAGGACCACAGTCCAGGCCCTGGATAGTAGAATCAAGAGGATGAACCATTAAGAAAACTTACTAGGACCATATCACCTCCACCAAAACCATAATGTAAGGCTGAGCAAACATCCAGAGTTTCTACTAGAATCAAAATGTACCCTTTAGCCTGTGTGTGAACAGCCTTTGACAGAACCATTCTACTTTATGGATCAAAGAAGGGGAAACCTCATGTTGCTCAACGGCAGCCAAGATAGGTGGTTCTCAACCTATATTGATTCTGCCTGTCAAACGAGTACTTGCCAATGTCTGGAGACATTGTTGGTTGTCATAACATGGAGCCAGCACAACTGACACCTTGTAGCTAGTGATTCTTTACATGTGTCACAATGTAACCTCGGCCTTGCCACAGCTAAGACTATTTGAGATGTCAATAGAGACTGAGAAACAATGAATCAGATAAATTACATTCAATCCTTCAATGTATCACAATCTCCAGGAAGCCTTGCTCAAAAGCAAAGTGTTGAATCCCACTCCTAGGGTTTCTGATTTAGTAGGTCTAAAATAGGGCTCAAGACTGTCTTTTTGTTTTGGATTTGTTTGTTTTTAGATAGGATCTCACTATATACACTTGACTGGCCTGGAATTTGTTACGTAGACTAGGCCCACCTCAAAATCAGATGCCTAGCACTCCCTCCAGAGCAGAAGGATTAAAGGTGAGTGAGTGCCATCTTGCCTAGTCTGTATGAGTTATACTTAGCTTCATGTATGTGGATATCTACATGATTTATGCTTATCTTCATGTATGTGTATATCTACATGTATATGGGGCCCAGAGGTTACACAGGGCATTGGATTGTGGGGAACACACATGCCATGTAGAAGTCAGAAAGCAACTTTTGGAAATCTGTTCTCTCCTTCAGTTTAGGATTCAGAAATATAGCTCAGGTCCATCCGGCCTTTGTAGCAAACCACTTTTACCCACGGAGCCGCCTTGCCGACATGATAGTTTGCTTTAAATGGCTCACAGCCATGTAATCCAGAACAGTTCAAATCAGGAAGGGGCAGAATACTACCTCCAGCATTATAGAGCTGCTAAATAAACACTGAAAAATATGCAAAAAGTACATTTGCTCTATTATTGATAAAACAGCATCAATCTGATAGCACCATTTACACTGATGGAATTGCCCTCAAGTGCCCATTGCAACATTCCCCATACTGAGTTCCATGGAGATTATTAAAATAATTTCTTGAGAGGAAGGGGCACAGCTCAGTAGCAGAGCACTTCTTAACACCTGTGAAACACTCAGCTGGATCTCCAGTGCCACAAAAAGTATCTGCTAAATGAATGACTGCTCCCAAGTTTCTGAGCATTACATAACCAAACACACGATTGACTCACCATCCAGCCAGCAGGTATACCAGAGGACACAGTAGCTTGGCCAGTCTTGGCATTCTCATCAAATTTGTCAGCAGTGACAAAGTCAACGGGCAAGGTAATCTTCACACCATTTTTCTCAGCTTTAGCCATGAGATCTTTGACAATCTTGGCTCCTTCTTCATCATACAGAGAAGTTCCGATCTACACAAGAGAGTCAAGGAGATGAAGTTCAGCCTCTGAACTAAGAACATGACTGACCCAAAACAGACTGGACCATAACTATATAGTAATACAGGAACCAAAGATAAGCAACTTCAGATGAGATGAAAACGGTTTTAAGACTCACATTGAATTCCCATAAACTGCTATCACTACGGAGCCATTTCCCAGCCACTCGTCACTGGTTTCCTACCTCCATGTTGTTGAGCACCTTAAGGAAGGTAAAAGCCATTCCACCACCAATGATCATCTCATTGACTTTGTCCAGCATATTATTGATCAGCTGGATCTTGTCTGCAACTTTAGCTCTAGAAGGGAAAGCAAGACTCATCACCACAAGCACATTGGTGAGTATACTGCTAAACCCATGCCAGGCCCCATCTGTCCCTCTGCCTGCTGCCTGCAGACCCAGAAAAAACAGAGTCTATTCTTTAGGGTTTGTGCTATCCTCGACTTCAAGTGTTCAGAGATCTTACAACATATGTCCTGTGGTTAAAATAGACTGCTGTGTTTCAGTCTTATTCCAAAACCTGATCATGCCAGTAGGTGGCATTCACTCCTATATTCCAGGTCTTCAGAAACCTAAGAGTCAACCCAGACAGCTTAAATGCTAATTTGAAGAAGCCAGAAGCCAGAGTCTGATGCTTTTAACTCAGTAAACAAGAGTCCATGTTTCTAAGAACTAATCTTTTTGCAAGACAACACAAAAATCTAAACCTATCTGGGTTATTTTTAGGCCTCTAAAACAGGACTCATGAAGCCTAGAGAGCAACTATGTTCTTGCTCCGTGAAACTGACACCCAGTTCCAGAGTCAGTTTTCATCAGAAAATGCTGAGTATGCTTACTCATTTGGAAAGGAAAAATCCCAGGCCAGAGAAGGGTCATGGTCCAGAGAGAGGCTGCCCAAGCAGCTGTGCCACCGCTGTGCCACCGGAAAGGCAGCTTTCTCATCCTTCACTTCTGAAAGTTTTTCGGCTAAACATTACACTTATGCACACACTGCCTTTGCCCATAAGAACATAAAATAGGTACGTGATCTGGAGAATTAAGTCTAAATGACACTTTAAACATAGTTTAAACATTCATAGTTATCCCCTGCCAGGTTATACTATACCAACTTAGAAACTGTTTTAAGAAGAGCCTTGAAGAGCTGTGGCACAAGTATGTAATCCTAACACTCAGGAAACTGAAGTACGAGTGTCAGGGCTCAATATCATCCTGAACTACAAAGCAATTTCAAGGCCAGCCTGGGGTATATGAGAAATATCTTAAAGGGGGAAAAAGAGCCTCATGACCACCTTCAAGGGCTCTTTCCCCATTTTTCCCTGTGGAACCATTTTCTGCCCTTCTCTACTCTCTTCTGTCCACGAAGCTGACCTAAATAGACCCCATTAAGAGGCTCACATGTCTTCTGCTTTCCAGATAAACTGGGCCAATAAGTGGTATGTGTAGGGAGTACCCTAGCAGAAAATTGAAGAAAAAGCCCAGTATCTTTCCCTGGTTCCCTCTAACAGATGACCAGTCCTTTAGCCCCTGACTAAAGACCTTTTTCCACCAACTACCTCTCTGGATTGATAGCTCTTATTAGCCCCAGACTATTGAGGGGCTTCTCTAAACCCCATCCTCACCTCAACAGTCCCTTTATTAAATTCTCAGTTACCCAATGTGATTGAGCTGGCTGACCATAAACCACCCAAGTTATGATTGGCTCCCAGGATAACACTATCCACCAAAACATGATCCTAAAGTATTCTTCATACCCTCCCAATATTGCCAGGAAGGGTCGTTCAGGACTCTCCAAAGCTTTGGCAAAGTAGTTCAGCTCCTTCTTCATCAAAAATCCACCAGCCTTCTGTGGCAGATTCACACCCACCATGGAGCTAGGAGGGGAAAAAAAAAAAGAAAACAAATGTATTCAAAATCCAGTCGAATTCTACCATTTTTCCTAGACCCAGACGCCAGCTCCTTACCACTAAAATGCTTTTACCACTTGGGACACTAAGAGACCATGGCTTCATCCCTTAGATGCATTGCTGACTAATTTTACAACCAAGGCTAAAAAAAGAGCAATGGACCGAGGTGGAATTTAACATACCCAGGATCTGAGCTAGGTTCTATGTAGCTGGGTGTTTTTGTGGGAATCCCAACAGTAGGAATAGGGGTGTCTCTTAGTCTTTTGCCTGCTCTTGGGACTCTTCTTCCTCCTACTGAGTTGCCTCGTCCATTCTTGATGAGGGTATGTGCCTAGTCCTACTGTAACTTATTATGCCATGTCCAGTTGATATCCCTGGAAGGCCTCTTTTTTAGGAAGGGAAACAGAGGAGTGGACCTGGGAAAAGGGGAAGTGGGAGGGAGAACTGGGGGGAGTGGAGGGTGGGGAAACCATGAAAGGGATATGAGAGAAGAATTTATAAATAAAATAATAAAGTACCCAGTTAGTGGCTAAGATCACTTGCTGCTCTTACAGAGGACCTCGGTTCATTCCCAGCACCCACATGGGAGCTTAAAACCCTCTAATAACTCCAGCTCCAGGGGATCAGATGCCCCCGCTTCTTGCTTCTGAGGGGACTGCATGCACATGGTACAGATAAACATGTAGGTAAAATATGTTAAAAGTTTAAAGATACCCAGTTAATAGTTAACAGATCAAAGGCGGAATCACAGTTGATAAGAAAATAGATATTTTGATATACTATTCTCTAATAAAAATAGATAAAGTTAAAGAAATCTCTTCCTGCAGTTTCACAAAATGTTTTACCACATTTTGTCTCTATTTCCACTTTGAATCAAGATATTTAACATGGGACAGATAACTTCAAGTAGAAACAAAAGTTCAAAGGATGGATGTGTCTTGGGATTTTCTTAATTTAGATCATTCTAGAGTCCCCTGGAAGAAGGAACCTCTTGATCAAATTGACCTGTGGGTAGTTTGTGAGGCTTGTTTTGATGTAGAAAGGCCCAACCCAGGATGAGTGATAGCATCCCTAGGCTGGTGGTACTGGAAAACTGGCTAGCACTGGTAGCATGGGAACTCATGCTTATTTTAATCCCAACATTTGGGATGCAGAGGCAGGTATATGTCTGAGACAAAGGGCAGCCTGGTCAGCATAATGAGTTCTAAGCCAATCTAGTGCTACAAAATGAGACTCTGCCTCAAACAAAAAGCTGAATAAAAGCCAGTGAATAAGCAAGTAATCCAAGCTTCCTTCCCTGATTTCTCTCGATGGATTGTGACAAACCACACAAACCCTTTCTCCCCATAAGCTGCTATTGATGTTTTGACTTTTTAATCACAAGAATAGAATTTGAGCTGCTCAAGCATCCAAGATCACTGTATTCTTCCTTGTAGTACTGACAAAGCTCTCAGTACCTGTGGGCTCGGTGTGCAGTACCAAAAGCATCATTGACATAGACATCCCCAAGTTTGGACAGTGAGGCTCGGAAAGCATCAATTTTGGCTGGTTCAGCTTTAATCTGCAGGAAAAAAAATTTCAAAAAGGAAAATTCAACATAGGAAATATTAATGGCTCCAAAAACAATTTCAGAAGCATTTCTGGCCACCAAGAATCCTCTTGAACATCTTAAAACCCTGAGTTCGTAGGAAAGTTTTACTATTAGCAGCAAGATCTATTCCTTCTCCCAAATATTCCAGGTCCCTTGGTCATTTCCTGTCTCCATTGCTTCCTTCTGAAAACTGTACACATGTACACACACAAACACTAAATATGTGATAAAAAATTTAAAACTAAACAAAAAAAAATGAGAGAAAATTGGACCAAGCAATGGGTACAAGGGAGGTAATGTAACTAAAAATAATCATGTGAACACACTAAACAGCATTCAAGTATGGGAGTAGATAGATGTTCCAGTGGTTAAGAGCACTTGCTGCTCTTCCAGAGCTCACAGTCGTCTATAAAAATAAGCTTTTAAAACTGAATTTTGTCTTAATTTCATTTGTGTCCAGTTTGAACTTATGACTGGTTCCTGCAATTTCAGGCATTCTAAGCCATGAGACTGAATTAACTAGTTAATAGTTAATTAGTAAATTAAGTAATAATAGTAAATAACTAATAAAAATAATAGTAAATTAACTAATAAGTTAGTAAATAAACTAGTTAATAGTTAATTAGTAAATTAAAAGTCAGAGACTAGCATAGTTCATTGATTCCTAAATAAAACACTCCGTATCAACTTTCCAGTTGCCTCTTGCCATTTCTAAGCACTAGAGTTTGGGCATCTTGAGTTTCAGTTTAAAAGGGCACTGAATTTTAGGTTAGCACTTGAGTAGTACTATAGCAAGACCACGCCAAAGCATGGTAGGGCCAGCTCAGGGCCTGTGCTGCTAAGAAAAGAAACTGAGAGCGGCACACCAGATGACCTTAAGAAATGTCAGAAGTCAAAGGGGGACTGATAAATACCTTCAGAGCATCTTGTTCTTTCATCTTTAAAGACCCAAAGAGGGGAAAGTACTAGGGTGTGCCCTTAGCTAACCAAAGGGCAAACATAAAACCATGCTCATCGAGGCAGTTTTAACATTCAATAACTGAGGTCTGGTGATGGTGGTGCACGTCTTTAATCCCAGCATTTGGAAGAGGTAGGTGGATCCCTGTGAGTTCAAGGCCAGCCTGGTCTACAAGTGAGTTCCAGGACAGCAAGAATTGTTACAGAGAAACCCTGTTTCAAAAATACCAAAAAAAAATTAATAATTGAAGTCTATCATCAAGCCTAGCGACCAGTCTTGTGGATTGTCTACAGTCTTTGACAATGGCTTGTGAGTAGATCCAGACTGTATACAATTGCAATTGACTACAGGACCCACAGAGCCTCCAACATTTACTATCTGGTTCTTTGTAGAAAAAGTTTGCAGATGTAATTGCCTAAACTATAAAGTCCAGCACCACTAACTTAAACAAAATGTCTGCCTGCCTGAAACCCAAGCTTCTCGCACTAAGATCTGTTTGCTTAGGAAATGAGGATGAAAAATACTACATTTCACGAGAGAAAGCCTTGAGTCAGGTCAGAGGACAGCCGGGTAAACCCAGTGCTGGGAAGGTGGAAGAGATCAAGAGTTCAAGGTCACCCTCTTACACCACCCAAGAAAGAACTGCCTTAAGTCCTACGCCTCATCTATCTCACCAGGTGACCATTACATTCCCTGAATACTCTGGTTACTTGAGCATTCACATACTTTTCAAAGGCATTTCAAAAAGTGAATAGGAAGAGAGCTTCTGCGGTGCTGGTCACAGTTCCTTCCTTCACTGGGGAGTGATTATGTAGTGTGTGTACTCTGCTCTGCAACAACCGCTAACTCATCACGCTGTGCGTTTAAATAATTGTTTTGGTTTCTACCGTGCTGAGGGTTGTACCCAGGGCATTGCACACTACCCTGAGTTCCATCCGTGGCCCGCATTTGTACCTTTTTACAAGTATGGTATAGTCAATTTCAAAAGGTGTTTGGGAATAATCAAGGTAAGCTTCCACTATCCTTTACTCGTGGCCTCACACAAATTCAGATCCTAAGGCCCAAGAATATCAAAGGCACAGGTCCTACCTTGTTCCCAGAAGCATCCTTTCCCTTCCCTTCTTCCTCCACATGAAAGCGGAGGTTCTCCAGCAGGATGACAGTGCCAGCTGCTGGGTTGGCACAGGCATTCTCAACTTCTGGGCCCACACAATCCTTTAAGAAGAGAACATCCCTGGGGGGAGGGAGGAACAAGCAATGAAGACTGGAGCAAGCTGAAAGCTGAGAAGCAGTGACTGCAGGCCTTACCTACCCCCGGAGCTCACCAGCACCAGAGCCCTGTACTTACTTGCCCAGCAGAGACTTGAGTTCTGCCGCAACTGGCTCTAAGGAGTACTTGTCAGGCATGGGAACACCATCAGGTCGGCCCAAGTGGCTCATAAGGACAACTGACTTGGCTCCATTGTCCAAGCAGAATTTGATGCTTGGGACAGCAGCCTTGATCCTATAAGCAAGAGAAGACAGAAACAACGTTCTTCCTAAGAATTAGTGAGAACCATTTTAAACAGTAACTTTGTAATATACAAAGTGTCCTCAAGTCTGAGGGTTGCAGAATTCAGGTTTGTATTCAGGAGAAGACTGACATGATAAAACCCACCACCTGGAACTCCAGTCTCATCATAGACCTGTTCCTCATGTAGAAAAGAGCTTAGCCCCCTGCAGTCTAGAGCAGGACCCGCAGGGGAGGTTAGCCCTTGGCTTCTGGGGGCTAGGCATGCACAAAGACAATCAGCAGCGGGCAAACTGCACACGGTGCTGCACACCTGGGATCCCAGGCTTCGGGAGGGAGAAGAGGATCAAAGTTTAAGATCATCCTCAGCAACAGCAACTGTGGCCAGTCTGGAACACATGAGACCATGTCTATAAACCAACAACCTTGGCTCTTAAAAGTGTGCCCCCCCCCCCATTCTCTCGAAAACAACTGGTCACTGTTTCTATCCTCCGGATAAGCCAGGCAATGCATGACCAACACCTGCTCCCTTCTAAAAGTCTGAAGTGTGGGTAGTTGCTAGGTAGAGGATACCTTTGTGACCAGAGCCACTTGGCATGAACCCAAAGGAAATGAAATTAGCATACAGAAAGATCTGCACGCCCAAGTTTATCGTAGCATTGTTCACAATGGCTAAAATGAAGACCTCACCTCGTTGCCCATCAGCAGATGAATGGAGGAAAAAAATGAGGACTCTACATACACATAAAATAAAACTTTTTTAAAAAAAAAAAACTCAATTTGGGACTGATGAGATGACTCAGTGGTTAAGAACACTGGCTGCTCTTCCAGGTCCTGAGTTCAATTCCCAACCACATCTCACAACCATCTATAATAGGTTCTGATGCCCTCTTCTGATATGCAGGTGTACATAAATAAATGAAAAGAATTTAATATAAAAAATAAAGAGCCAGGTATTAAAGCATATGCCTGGAACCCAACACCTGGAAGGCTGAGGCAGGACTCCAAGCTCAAGCTCAGCAAAAGCTGACACATTGTCTCGGAAAAGATGTTTTGAAATAAAATCTTTCTCATAATTTTCACAAAGCAACAACAGTGCTTCTACACGGGCACTGGAGAAATTGCTCAGTGGTTAAGGCTTGTAGCTATTCTAGAGGACCTGCGTTCACTTCCCAGCAGCCATATCAGCTGGCTTACAACTAACTACCTCTAACTTCACCTTCAGTGTATCTAATACCCTCTGTGCGCTCCACAGGCAACTTCACACAGTGCACCAATCCCCCTCATACATATTCTCTCTCATATAAAAATATATCTTTAGGGCTGGAGAGATGGCTCAGAGGTTAAGAGCACTGATTGTTCTTCCAGAGGTCCTGAGTTCAATTCCCAGCAACCACATGGTGGCTCACAGCCATCTGTAATGAGATCTGGTGCCCTCTTCTGGCCAACAAGCATACAGACAGACAGAACATTGTAAACATAATAAATAAATATTTAAAAT